CATCTTTGTTTGCGTTCGTTTTGTATTCATACTTTTTTTAAGCATTTAATAGTAGTTCTATACCTTTATATTGAAGCATTGTATTGTTTGTAATTTGTAATATCATTTATGATATGTCAGAGTGCTTCATATCAAGGTTGATTGAGGTTTTATTTGTTGTAATTTGTTTTATTTTATCATCTGACTGTTTGTAAGTCTGTTTAGGCACATTATTTATGTTTTTAAACATATAATACGTTTGTATTGTTTTGCCGTTTTGCAATAGATATATTTAATATTAATATATGTGTGCATTGTGTTTGTTATTAATTAATGTGTCCTTTGACTTTTACAAACTATAATGTTATTTGTATGTTTGTATTGTTTTATTGTTGTGATAATGTTTTTATTATCATTGTATAGTGTTATTTGATTAATATATATTGCTTTGTACAATTATAATACGTGTTTGTTGTTTTTATTTTGTAGATAGATGAAATAGTGTATTTTACAGTTCTATTTTTCATCATATATTGTAATATTTGTTTGTTTATTGTTTATTTTGTGTTAAATTCTGTTTGATATTGTTTTAATTATTATATTCACTTTATTCACTGAATATATGTGTGCATTTGTTATGAAATATGAATTTATTTTGTTTATTTTGAGTGTATTGCTCATTTTTGTTCATTATGATTGATGTTATCTTGTTTTATTTGAAAGGATTAATGTTTTGATCACTGTTACGTCTGTTGCTTCTTTTAATTTTTAGCAAGTGCTTCATGCATCTAGTGTAGATCACTTTGGGAATATGTGCCATTTCTTGGCTTGTCTGGATTATTTCCCAGTTATATGTCTGAATATTATTTTGTTTACTTAGTTATTCGTTTGCTATTATGTCCTACATGTTAGGGAATAAGTGTTGGAAGTTTTGTGTGATGCATGATTGTTATTTTTGATGTAACATACGTTCTGTTGTGGAAAACATAGTTCTGTTCAATATGCACTAGAGATGCTTTTCTGCTCAACATTATTGCATGTAGTGTACTTCTCTGTGTTTTGATATATGCTCCATAATATATATTCGTTTGTAATACGTTCAATGGTGCCATGTATAGTGTGACCATCAAAGATTCCAGAGAATGTATCTCCTGTGTAGGTATTTTATTGTTGGATTCATTGGATTGAACGGATTTGCTTGTTAGATTCAACAGATTTGCTTCGAATTCGTTGCAATAACTTTATAATTGTGTTTTGTGGGATGTGCAAGGTTAAATAGTGATGTAGTCAATATTTCCGCATCATTTAATTGTTTGCTATGTTTTGATTTATTTGTTATGTTTTATGTTTTGTGAATATATACTGTTATTACTCCCCTTCAATTTGAGAAGGTTTGCCTTGAGTAATTGGCTTTTGTGTTTAATTGGTTTGTTTGTACGTTTTCATCATTCTATTATTTGTTTAAGCATTTGTATGTGAATGCATGTATTTTGTTTTGTCCAATACTTTCATATTGTTCTAATAGACTTATGTGTTCAATGTTATTTGTTATCTTTGTCTGATTTAGTTATTATTTCTTTTTGGCATTTATACTAATTGTTATTCGAGTTTATACTCAAATAGGTTGTATGTATGCTTGTGTATTTTGTTTGATTATTATGCATACGTCTGAATAGTTTGTTATTTGGATAATTATAATCCATAGTATTATTTAGTAAAGATAAGTTTGTGTATTTTGTCTGTTATATTTGCATACATTGTGATGCATTATTTCTATTCACTCAGTATCATTTGTCTTTCGTTTGATGACAAAAGTATTTGAGCTATTGTGTCTTGTTTCTGTTCTGTTTATTAATTTTATTCTTTTGTGATGGGTGCAAGCTCAAGCAAGGCCGTTAATTAAGAATACACTGTTATAATATTGTTTGAACTTTGAATAGTTAATAATATTTGTTATGTATTGATCATAGATATATTCTTTGTGAATAAATATTTTTCTACTGTTTGTAGTGATCAATTAAATCCATCATACATTGTAGATGTTTAATTATATGTGAAGTGTCTGATTGAGTTTCGAACTTATGTTTGTTTCTTTTGGATTTCGTTCCAATGTTTGTTTGTCTTTTGTGTACTTGGCAGCAGTGTTCTTTCTGTTGCTTGGCCCTTCAGACTATCCAATGTTAGGCTCTAATGTTTTCAAGGTATTAGTTATTTTGTTTTGTGTCTGTATTATTGTATTTTGTCAAGTTTTTAAGTGACATTTAATTGTTTATAACATTTTGTATGTTAATAATATTTTCAATGTGTCCAAAATATGTTTATATTGTTTAAACTGTTTGTATTAATTGTATCAACTTAATACTTTGTTATCATGTATATCTTATGATTAGTATACATAATATTGTTACAGTGTATTTGTAACTATTGTTCGTCCGATTTTTACATTGTAATAGTAATTGTGTGAGGTATAAGATATGTATTTGTCTGTATAGTTTATAATGTCAATATTATGTATATATGCATCATTATATTGTTTCTTCGTTTGTAACATTATAGTTTAACTTAATTTAATACTTTGTATACGTATATATGTTTGTTTTTATACGTTTCAAATGTTTGCAACATTGTTTTGTATGTTTTATTAATTGTTTTTATTGTTATTATGTGTTTGTTCAATTACATTTGTATATAACTTTGTGTTATTTAATAATTAATAGTTTTATGTGTTCGAATGCATTATTATTATTTCGTACATTTGTATATTTGTATATCTATGTAACATGCTTTATTATTTCATTGTATACGTTTGTATATCTATGCAATATATTCGTATTTGGTAAATATATGTTATTTATCATGACTGTGTGTTTGTAATAGTATAAATCGTTTTTATATTTGAGTTATTATGCTTTAGTTGCATTTATACTCTCGTTTTCATATTATTCGTTTGTCTAATCATTATTAGATTGATTATATGTTCACAATAGTATTTCTTTATATTATTATTATGCTTTGCTAGCATTATTCTTTTGTTTATAGTATTAATCATTTATATTATTGATATAATATCAAATGTTCGTTTGTTATGTGAGATGTTATTATTATAATGTATCTCTGTAGTGTAAGATAAAGTAGTTCAGCATTTGAATATAGTATTACTGGGTATTCATTACTTTTAAAGCAACTAATCTGTCCAAAGTTATTTTAATAAATCAATGTGTGTTTGGGATGCTCAGACAGGTGTGTCTAGGTCCTCATAGATAATACGTTCCTTCTACAAGTATTGTAGCATGTCTCGTTGTATAAAGTGATTGTAGTCTTCAGGACAAGACAATTTGCATTTGGTATGCTCAGATGGGAGCACCAAAGGTTTGTAGACAAGTAGAATAGATTGTACGTGTAGAATCAAGTGGATTCAGCATTAAATGAAGTAGTTTGATGTTACTTATCAAGTATAATATGATTGAGTGTATCTAATCATTTGTACTATAGTGTATAGTACACTGAAGCGTTTGAGATGACGATTGTAGTGTATATAGTCATACATATAACCACTGAGGGGGAAATCATCAACAAATGTATTTACAGCTATTTGCAAAAGTAATGGCAAAATCCAAAATCACGTGTATTTGTGACATGTGGCATGCAAAAAAAAAAAAGGACGACAGAAATGCATTTTTTTCAATAAATAGGCTGTCAATTGTATTGAATGAGCTACCTAAATTTTCCTCTATTTAATGTGCTTCAGAATCTGTAAAAATATTTCAGAATGGTTCAGAGTGTATTGAGTTAGAGAAAATAGAACTCACACAAACCTACTTGTCCTTGTGCTTGGGTCAGATTGCAAAAAATCTAGCACATGTAAAACTCTACATAAAATTCTCTTTACACTCTCTAAAAATCACTGTGCTTACAGGGTACACATATACTCAGTTTTGTGATGTAGGATCAACTTAAAGGCTCAAAATGAGTAGGTTTGTTCTACTGTTCCAGCTGATCCCACACTACTTGTGCCATTCTGCCTCTCATAGTTTGCACAGTGTTAACATTTATTTTGGATAAATGTGTCATATGTCTCAAATCATACAAACGTCTCGCAAATATACACTATTGCTGAGACATGTCTTCTGAGACATACATTTGAGACATACAATATTAGATAGCATATATATTACTTCAATCTAAGGACAATGAAGCTCATTAAGAACTTACACACAGTCGACTCGTATTGACACTTACACACTATGAGCAGAGTCCACTAAACCCCTACTAGTGTGACTTACTCTTAGTATCCTTGTGAGTGGTGTGCAAACTAACAGAAGAATATTTCCTATTGATTGAAACATTGTGACCTCAACACACTAACAGGTTATGAGCCTTGCACTCCCTGCTCATATCTACATTGTTACTACACTTTTACCTTACCCTCTACAAATGCAATGCTTCGAAATCATCATCTCTGCAATTCGACTTTTTCGTGATGTTGTACTTAAACATTTATGACACATTTACACTTGTCACTGCTTGCCTCTGACCCTCACCATCTCCTATAACCCTCTGCCCTAGGCATGCCACCATGTTGTTGCTTTTGTTCTCTCCAGTTTAGTTGACTCACTCGTGTCCTCCAGTACACTCCAGCTCTATGCTTGCCTCTCTAATCTGTTGCTGCAATGCCTGCACTGACCCTCAGATCCTGTAACAATGCCACCCAGCTGACTATACTGTCCCCTCCCAAAATATAAGCATCCAATCCACTTCATAATAACCTGCACAATAGTTGCTCACCCCTTTCCTCCTAACCTTTTGTCTTCCTTTCATCCCTCCTGCTCCTCACTCCACTGCTTGTGTTGCCTTTCCTTCGTCGTCGTCCTTTTTTTACGTTCGCCTTCCTTTTTGCATTCGCATTCGCGCAGCCGCATTGTTGACCAATGCCGACCGACTTCTTCAATAATTACATGTATTCGTGTACTTCTTCCCGCTCTGCAGTGCAAGCAACAATCAATGAACACACGATCGCAACGATGTCCATGTACAACCACTCCCAAGGCACAATCCTCTTTCCGACCCTTCGCGCACTTTCCTTCCCCACCCACCATTCCATGCTTGACATCACTCTCGATGGGCCCACACCACGTGCATTTACATTCCCCAGTGCTGTCAATGACACCATTTCGAATCACGAAAGCAGTGGCCCACCACTCACCCCTCCTGAGCCGAGTCCGTCCACACCTTCCACTTCACCCTCTCCCTTCGAGCCAGAACGTCCCAGAGGTACACCTTTGCAATCATCCACAGCAACGACTCAGTTCACTGCACCTCCCTTTTTGAGACGTGGTCAGAGCATGCAATGTGCATGCACGGATACGGCTTCGCCTGCAGCTCAAATCAGCTCATTCAACGCTGCAGTCCTCAACCCCGGTGCACCACTCTTCCTTGCTGCACACCGTCGCGGTGCATCTATCTCTTCTCTTCAAGTATCTACTTATGCTAACAATCCCCTCCCAGTAGCAAGTCGCCCTCCCAACCTGTCTCACAAGCGCAAGCTCTGCAATCCGCACAATCTCACGACACTCACCGTACTCATACGCAATTCAACTTGCAGGGACGAGCGAAGACCAAAGCGTAGTGACAAAGACGACATCGATCGGCCCACGATGCATTCCTGCATTCCTCCTTTGTGTCGCGAATGTCGTTTACGAAAGAACGAGGCAGTGGCTGTAGTTATGGCAGAAGGTGATCCTGTCGCACGGCGTCAACGTCAAGCAGACCTGTCCAAGACAATCTCGAATAAATAGCGTTTGCTTTCTGTGGAGGAATGTAAATACTGGGACAATCTCGCAAAGCAGTAGAAGAAAGGCATGAGGGGGTGTGGTCTTGAGCATAAGTTGTTCTCTTTGTTAATATGTAGTTTTTGCGTGTATTAGCTACAAAAACCAATATAATAAATTAGATTAAATATATTTTATTATTATTATAATGAATTAAAATATTGGATAAAGCTGTAATAGCCTATAATATCATATAACATGTTATTTGACTTACAGAAAATGACAAGAAAAATAGTATCTTATCAGTTTGGGGAAAGCAGTATAAGCTCTTATACATTTTCATAATATGTATTTATCTTACACTTGTATTATAATAACATATAATTCTTATTACTTTCCATAATATTAATCTGACTTATTTAACCTTATTGTATCTTAAATAACATTTTCAGCTGAGGGAAAGCAGTATATAACATTTTACATATTATTGATATTTTACATATTATATACTCAGATAAGATTGAAAATGACTGGTACCTTTTTCCTGACAATAGCCATTGGCCAGGCCTCCTACATACATTACAGCTATTTGCAAAAGTAATGGTAAAATCCAAAATCATGTGTATTTGTGACATGTGGCATGTAAAAAAAAAAAAAGGCAACAGAAATGCATTTTTTTCAATAAATAGGCTGTCAATTGTATTGAATGAGCTACCTAAATTTTCCTCTATTTAATGTGCTTCAGAATCTGTAAAAATATTTCAGAATGGTTCAGAGTGTATTGAGTTAGAGAAAATAGAACTCACACAAACCTACTTGTCCTTGTGCTTGGGTCAGATTGCAAAAAATCTAGCACATGTAAAACTCTACATAAAATTCTCTTTACACTCTCTAAAAATTACTGTGCTTACAGGGTACACATATACTCAGTTTTGTGATGTAGGATCAACTTAAAGGCTCGAAATGAGTAGGTTTGTTCTGCTGTTCCAGCTGATCCCACACTACTTGTACTATTCTGCCTCTCATAGTTTGCACAGCTTATAACCAAAAATTGCATTTTTCTTGCTAAATTGGTCAGGCAGTAAGATAAACAGAATCCCCTTTGTCTTGTATTCATTCGTATATACTACAAGCTAAGATGACTACAACTTTGCTTGAGTGTAGTGTAGTAGAAAGTTCAAATGACAGGGAATTATAAATAAGTACTCTGGTACACCAATTCCAACAAACATACACAAGAAGGGAGGATAAATGTATGTTGGTGCTCCTACATAGAATAATGTATTCCTACAGCAACAAAGCAGAAGGGAAGCATAAAGGCAGGCCACTACTACTATATCAAACAATAGTTTCTTACTGATACACAAATTCTGACAAAGACAGGAGCACATAAAGACAGAGAGAATGTTCTCAGGGGCCTAATGTCTGTCTAATGAGCAAATACAACTTACAACTAACAGTAGTAAGCCAACTCACATTAATTCTGCTAGTATGGGTTTTAGTGAATCTAATCACTGTAACAGAATGTAGTAGTCTGAGTTTACTTTCCCTACAACTGGTATAGTCATGTCCTCAACAAATGAATCAATTTTCTTCTCTATAGTTGTTTTCCCTGTTTCAAAGTAATTGTTGCTTGAGTAGAGTTGTTCCTTGATTTCTTTCAGCACCTTGTCATAGTTGATGTCTTGCTTGTCTTTGTCTCTACTCAAGCCAGACTCTTTGATCAACATTGTAGAACTGGCTAGTACCTTACAGACTGTGTCAGTGTATTTGTGCTTCTTGTGTACAAGCTGATTCACAACTCAATGTATGAACAAGTCTCTGAGCACTACTACTCACATTAGCCTAGTATTAAGAATTGTATGTAATGACATTCTGAGCACATTGAACTTAATAGAATATATCTGGCAATGCTTCTTAGTATACTCCAGATTTTGCTTAAGAGCCTCTACTCTCTCTTCCAAGCTCTCTAACAACAGTATTACTAATTGAGACAACTTAACTACTAGTTTAACAGTTGTAGAGGCTCTGTTTTGTAGGGACAGTAGGGTTGACTCTGTAAGTTCAGTACCTTTGTCATACAAGGATGACAGAAGAAATGAGTGTAGATTAGACAAGCTGTACAACTTGGCTGTATAGTACAAAGTGTCTATACTGTACTCATAGTGTCTACTACTACTATAACTAGTATTAGACAGTGTTCTGGTGGAAGAAACTGGACTAGTCCTGAGTCTGGTGTGTAGAACATCTTCTAAGCTAACTCTATCTGTATCTGTCTTGTGTTTCTCTCAGCCATTCTATTGTCTGCCAGGACCTTTTAGTATTAAGCCTGAGGACAACCTCTTACTAAGGATAAATTTACTCTATAGCTCCTGCTTCTGGACCTTGAAAGCTATACTAATATCAAATTGGGAGGTAGTATGTTAATTAACAGATACTTGAGAGAGTACTATGTTATTATAACTATAGCTACTACAGACTGTCTCTACTAGTTTGTAATAATAGTCATACTGTGTCTGTACATTACAAAGACTTGTATCTACAAATATGAGTAACTTCTTAGTAATGTTAAACTCCCAAATAAATGTAGGGATGAAAAACTCTAGAATCTATTACAAGAAATCAACTTAAGATTCCCTGACAAATCACCTGTTCTTGTAGCAATTATTGTAGGCAAAATTATTACTCATAAACTTCTTAACAAGCTTAACATTTGGATAAACCTTAGTCTTGATACTATCAAGATGCTTGCCCTTAGTGTCTGTAAAACAGTAGAAAACAGAGTAATAGGGCCAAATTCTGTACCCTTTACTTCCTGTCTTCTTAACACAGAAATGAAAGAGGTAATTATTATTCAGTACTCTCAGAAATTTGTTCCAATTGACTAAGGTTACTGTCTTATCAAACTGAATCAGAATGTTGTGTGGCTCAAAGAAGTCTGAGAGGACAATTATAAAGCTATACACAACATAATATTAAACTATGTCTGTCACTCTTTGTATAATAAACACAGACAGAGTAAAACAATGCTGAAAATGTCATTAATACAAATCCAGGTTTTATATGTTGTATTACTTACACTTAGAGTAATTCCCTCAAGTAATCTTGACTTCTGTATAAGTTTAGTGATTGTGGTTGCCTACTCACTTGCCTCTTCCTCTACAACCTGACAATGACTAGAAAAAGCTAACTACTAAGCCTTGATTGCCTTATTCATGTTATTGTACTTCTTACAAATGGTAGACAGCTTTGAGTAGGAATTAATTACTACTTCACAGAGAAGGTCAAGAAGTTTCTGCTCTGAAATGTTCTTACTAGATCCTTCACTTTACACAAGTTTCTACTATAGAGCTTGTCTTATATAAGTTAGTCTATTAAGAGTGCCTACAACTCTAGTTAGTTAGACAAAAGTAATAACTCAGACAAGACATACTAATTTGTAAGACACTTGAAAGATACAGACTACCTCTCAAGGTGGGTAGACTAGAAAGGTGAACATTTGTAGTAGACACCTTATAGGTCATTCTTAACAATACAATATACAAGTATACTGTTACAGTTCTCTACTCTCACACCTTCAGTTCTGAGAGTTCTACACCCTTCTGTACTAGAACTCAGGACTTCTGTCCTTTAGAAGTACTGTTTATAAACTATATACAGACTGATTCTTACTATTACCCCTCCTTACTTTATTATTCTATTCCTTTAACCACCCTTTCATTCTTTGTTCATTCTATAGTCTCTTACCCTTTGTCTATCCCTTCATTCTTTGTACCTTTATCTTTGACCTTCCTTTCTTTCATTCTTTATAGCTCATCATTCTTAGTAGCTCATATTCCCTGAGTACTCTTGTGTAGTTTAGTATATATAAGTGTATAAGATCAGACTAGTTCTATAGTCTTGATCTTGTCTACTCTAGATAGTCCTGTACTCTTAGACTTACTCTATATACTCTACTCTTGTCTTACTCTCTCTCTCTGTCTGTTCTACAAGTTCTGACTATGTTTTAGTACTTGTGTTCTATACTTCTGTTATGTAAGATAGTTGTAGCCTGGGTCCTCTTACTAAGCCTTTGAGTCCCCTCTACACTATTACTAACATCAGATCAAGACTACCTATTACTACTCTATGACTCTTCTCCATTTTAGGTATTAGTACTTACTATTGTGTTAATCTCTTTTCTTTGTTCTAACCCTTTTACATTTTAAAAATTTAGACTTTCTAAACCCTTTCAAACTTTTATCACCCTTCTTCTATTTATTACTCTTTTTAGTTTAGTGTTGATTCATTTATAGTGTAAACATAGACCCTTTATACTGACTGTCACCCCTACTGTTCTACTAGATTAGTAGTTACAAGTAGACCTAACTTAATATGTGTAGACCTTTATCTAAGAGGCCTTTACTAACTATGTGCCCCTAGCCCTCTCAGAACCTGTTCTGATTGTTCTAGAAGTTACAACCTATTCTAGAAAGAAAGTGTATATAGTCTACCCTTTAGACTTTAATAGGTAGTACTTTAAGGACTTCTAGTACTAAGTCAAACTATATGTAACTACTACTTTAACAGATTTATTCTCAGATCTTAATTGTGTCCTATTTGTCCTCTCCTTTATAAAGGAAGGCAACACAGCCACCTGGGCCTAGAACTGGATTGAAGGACATTAGATTAGAAGTCTAATCTGACTTTAGAACAACAAGTCATACTTGGAATTTATAAGGCAGCTCTGTACTTCCTTTATTAATCTAAATAAGAAGTGTAATGTGTAGAACAAGCTTATATCTCTGTGACAGGGTAAACATTCTACTAACACCTTCTTTCAGGAGTTTGATATCCTAGTCTAAAAGGTAGGATTTGTACTCAGGTTTAATAATGTTCTTATTAGAATGTTTGAGAAAGCTCTTTACCTAGAACTGGTTGATAAGATTCTTAGAATAATACTAGAACTGATTACTTACACTGATTGAAAGACATACACTATTTCCTTCAACCAAGCCATAGCTTGAATGTGTCAAGTCTGTATAGAA